AGATTAAAAAAAAACCTCAAATAAATCAAATGTTTTTAATATAAAATCCAACGCGCCAATAATAATAATAATGATAATTGGGGGCAGCTTGTGAGTAACCCAGAGATTACACATCTATAGTCCAGCCACGATCTATCCACTGCTGGACGAAGGTCCCCCGAGGCCCCTGTGAGCAATAGATGATGATGATGATGATTGTTATTGTTGTTGTTGTGCCACTGTAGCGGCACCCTCGTGGTTCCGTCTCCGCGGTGAAGGGCGTGGCTCTCCCTCCTTTGGCTGCCGCTCCGTGGCGAGGCTCGACGTGGGGGTCAACGTGACGTGGGGGTCAATGTGACGTGGGGGTCAATGTGAGGGGGGGTCAATGTGAGGGGGGGTCAATGTGCGGGGGGGGTCAACGTGACGTGGGGGTCAATGTGAGGGGGGGTCAATGTGAGGGGGGGTCAATGTGAGGGGGGGTCAATGTGACGTGGGGGTCAATGTGACGTGGGGGTCAATGTGAGGGGGGTCAATGTGACGTGGGGGTCAATGTGAGGGGGGGTCAATGTGAGGGGGGGTCAATGTGAGGGGGGGTCAATGTGACGTGGGGGTCAATGTGAGGGGGGGTCAACGTGACGTGGGGGTCAATGTGAGGGGGGGTCAATGTGACGTGGGGGTCAATGTGAGGGGGGGTCAATGTGACGTGGGGTCAATGTGACGTGGGGGTCAATGTGACGTGGGGGTCAATGTGAGGGGGGGTCAATGTGAGGGGGGGGCAATGTGACGTGGGGGTCAATGTGACGTGGGGGTCAATGTGAGGGGGGGTCAATGTGAGGGGGGGACAATGTGACGTGGGGGGCAATGTGACGTGGGGGTCAATGTGACGTGGGGGTCAATGTGAGGGGGGGTCAATGTGACGTGGGGGTCAATGTGACGTGGGGGTCAATGTGAGGGGGGGTCAATGTGAGGGGGGGTCAATGTGAGGGGGGGTCAATGTGACGTGGGGGTCAATGTGAGGGGGGGTCAATGTGAGGGGGGGTCAATGTGAGGGGGGGTCAATGTGACGTGGGGGTCAATGGGAGGGGGGGTCAACGTGACGTGGGGGTCAATGTGAGGGGGGGTCAATGTGCGGGGGGGGTCAACGTGAGGGGGGGTCAACGTGAGGGGGGGTCAACGTGACGTGGGGGTCAATGTGAAGGGGGGGTCAATGTGAGGGGGGGGCAATGTGAGGGGGGGTCAATGTGAGGGGGAGTCAATGTGACGTGGGGGTCAATGTGAGGGGGGGTCAATGTGAGGGGGGGTCAATGTGACGTGGGGGTCAATGTGACGTGGGGGTCAATGTGACGTGGGGGTCAATGTGAGGGGGGGTCAATGTGACGTGGGGGTCAATGTGACGGGGGGGCCAATGCGAGGGGGGGTCAATGTGAGGGGGGTCAATGTGAGGGGGGTCAATGTGACGTGGGGGTCAATGTGAGAGGGGGTCAATGTGAGGGGGGGTCAATGTGAGGGGGGGTCAATGTGACGTGGGGGTCAATGTGACGTGGGGGTCAATGTGAGGGGGGTCAATGTGAGGGGGGTCAATGTGAGGGGGGGTCAATGTGAGGGGGGGTCAATGTGAGAGGGGGTCAATGTGAGGGGGGGTCAATGTGAGGGGGGGTCAATGTGAGAGGGGGTCAATGTGAGGGGGGTCAATGTGAGGGGGGGTCAACGTGACGGGGGGTCAATGTGACGTGGGGGTCAATGTGAGGGGGGGTCAATGTGACGTGGGGGTCAATGTGAGGGGGGGTCAATGTGAGGGGGGGTCAATGTGAGGGGGGGTCAATGTGCGGGGGGGGTCAATGTGAGGGGGGGTCAACGTGACGTGGGGGTTAATGTGAGGGGGGGTCAATGTGAGGGGGGGTCAATGTGAGGGGGGGTCAATGTGAGGGGGGGTCAATGTGAGGGGGGGTCAACGTGACGTGCCCGAAACCCGCGTGTGCCCTCCAAGCCGCGTCTTCCTCCTCCTTCTCCCCGTGCATGAACGACCGTAATCTCAGATTTGTTTCACTTAAATGAACATCATCTAGTTCGCCTTCAAGCCACACTTGTTTAAAATGACAAGCGGCAGGAGAAGTCACGTACTGAGACGAGTGTGTGTGTGTATATATAAATGTCGATGGGAGTTTTTTGCGAGTATCAAAATGATGAGAAGTCAAGAATAGGTTTTAGCCATTCTGGTAATAACACAGGAAAGTGGTGAGATGTTCAAACACCAAATTGATACCTTTTGCAAGGCATCAAGTCTGCATTGACCACACACACTGCTCGTGGCTAAACATACAATACAGTACGAATCACATACCTGCATTTCCTATAAATATGCTAAATTCCTCATGATATGCATATTCTTTTGTTAAGGCTCCCCCTTTCTTCCCCCCTTCCAACCCAGCTTATATATATGCTCCAAGCACGTGTGCTGTTTCATTCAGACGCTGTCGCCTCGACAGACCTGGTTTTCACCTGAGGACAGCTGCTTGCGTTGTGACCGAAACGTCGTGAGAATTATTTTATAATGTTTTATTTTTTTATTTTTTTATTACTTCCCTTCTACGTGACTTTACCGAAAGAACCAAGAAGAAAAAAAACATGCTCTGATAATCTACGAGCATCTGTCATTGAAACTGATTGTCCTACACCAGGGGCAGCCTTCTTCATGGACTTGTTCTCACCATCAGCGTGAGACCAGAGGTCGCAAAAAGGCAAACAGCACCATGACAATGCGAGCATCAGCACACCGATAGCTCGGGTCGAGGAGTTATATTTAGCACGCGTTAATATACTCTTGGGTCTTTCAGAAAAGTCACGTAGATAGAATAAAATTAACCCGTAAAAACAAAGTTTTTCACTATAAATCCTTTATATGCTTGGCATCGGGGCAGCTAGAGTCCTCTCGTCCTCTGGCTTGAGATGGCTGCCACCTATGGGTCAGATGATTGTCTGGCAGCATTAAACAATTGGTAATTAAATATTTTAAAAAAATTCCCTAAACAGTGTAAAATTTTCACGGAAATGCATTGTCACACACAACGAGTCTATGTGCAAAATGTCAGCTCTATTGGATCACGGGACGTAGGGTTAAACAACGACCGAAAGATTTGCACGGTCGTAAGCACGCAAGCACGCAAGCAAGCAAGCAAGCGAACTTAATATAAATTATTTAAAAGAGTAAAATAATATTATTTTATTAAAAAGAATAAAATAATATTATTCTATTAATAAAAAAATAAAAAGTAAAAATTCCATTATCTTTCTATCTACGTAGATATGTATGTTGTATATATACACACTGAAGTATATTATATAAACATTACATTAAGATCTAACGCGACCGGGGAGAATTCCTTTGGGCACTTCTCGCCTCTCGCACAAAGACAAAGATGCCCGTACAGCCTCCACAGACTGCTGAGGCAAGTGCCGTTAGTGAGCACGGCACACGAGCGGGGGGTGGGTGACCCCGACCGCTTTTGTCTCCCCGGTGCGGACGTTTGCACCCCGGGGCCCAGCCAGGTGGCTCATTGAATGCTGAGTCGACCTAAGCGAGGGCCCAAGGAATCGGTGTCGGCTTGTTCGTCGCACCGATGTTGGCCGTGACCCTGAATCCGAACCCCTCCCCCCCCCCTCTGGGAGCTTCGTCAACGCCCTGGCGCTAACCGTTGCGCCACCGCTCCCCCGGCACGTGGAGGTAGGTAATTGTACCCTTTGTACCGGTTAAAAGGGTAAAGGTAAAGATGTCGACATGCCAAGGGGTAAGGGTAAAGGGTAGGGTAAAAGGTAGGCTCGTTGCTTTTAACCTTTTACCTTACCTGCTAAAGGGTAGAAGGTCGGGTAGAGTGAATTGTATTGTGGTAAGGTAAAGGGTAGGGTAAATGTAGGCTCGTTGTTTTTACACTTTTACCTTTACCTTGCCGAGGCCTACGTGGAGGGGAGCGGCGGGGGCGTTGTTATGCAAGTGATAGCGCGCGTCTGTGGGCCAACCGTGTCTGTGATTGCAATTATTCATTGGTACTAATTTGAAAGGCCACGTGAAGTGTTTCTGGCCGCCGTTGCCGCGAGAGATTGCGTGACCGCGTGGTCTCGTTAAGCGACGCACGTGAGCGAGTGATGTGGCAGAGTCGACAAGCCGTGGGGTTCCTTATTCCCCAACCACTCACACCTCGTCCGGCTCCGCTCCGTTCATTCAGGAGCTCGGACAGCGTTACCTATTTGCTAAATCAGCGAACGGATTTCATCGACGATTTGCGTTCACGATTCGTGCACCAATTCTCACCGTCAGCGTGCTTGAGAATCGATTTCTCAAAAGTAAAAACTAATAAATGTACGCTCGCCACGTGTCCCCTTTGCAGGCGATTGAACAGATAAACAACAACAACCAACATGACCAACAATTTAACACGTAGGCTTTCGCGACCAATATTATTCTTAATATAGGTTTTTGGGTCAGATCGCGTTATTTATAAATGTGTCGTAACCCTCCACCACCCGACACGGCCAATCAGTAAAAAATGTGTCACTTTTTCAAAGGACAATTAATTCACTTCTTTAGCCCACCGGTGTGCTGAAGAGAGAATCAACAGCATTTTTTAATTTGAGTAGCGCGACGTTTCGCTGATAATTACAAAATAATATTATTTTATAGTCCAACAATCAGCATAACCAACAACAACCAACATAACCAACAACCAACATAACCAACAACAACCAACAACAACCACCAACAACCACCAACAACAACCAACAACAACCAACAACCAACAACCACCACCACCAACAACAACCAACAACAACCAACAACCACCACCAACAACAACAACCAACATAACCAACAACAACCAACAGCAACCACCAAAAACAACCAACAACAACCAACATAACCAACACTCAACATAACCAACAACAACCACCAACAACCACCAACAACAACCAACCACCAACAACAACCACCAACAACAACCAACAACCACCAACACAACCACCCCACGCACCTTTCCATGCGCGCCGCTCACCGCGCTCCGCCTGCTCGGCTCCCGGCGTCGACGCCCGCGTCCCCGTCGCCGCGGGGGGCTGCTGGCTGAGCGCGCGGCTGAAGTGCTCGTCCACTTCGCTGGCGATGTCCCCGCGGAAGTAGGTGAGCAGCAGGCAGCGAGAGGTGAGGTACTGCGCCGCGGGCACTCGCTCCTTGTCGTGCCGCTGCTGCTGCTGATGATGATGAGACGCGTCTCCCGATGCTGACGAAGCCGCTGCTGCTGCTGTTGTTGTTGTTGTCGCAGCTGTTGTTGTTGTTGCTGTCTCCTCGTCTGTGCCGCCTTCCTCGGGGTCTGCTCGGTCACCGCCGCCTCTCGCCGCGTGCCGGCTGCCCTCGGGCGGCGGGGGCTGCCCTTCGAGCGGGGCGCTGCTGCCCGCGTTGATGCCCTCGAACAAGTCGTTCATCTTGCCCGGGAAGAGCTGCAGCTTCTGTGGTGGTGGTGGCGGTGTGTTGTGGTGGTGGTGGTGGCGGTGGCGGTGGTGGCGGTGGTGGTGGCGGTGGTGGCGGTGGTGGTGGTGGTGGCGGTGGTGGTGGTGGCGGTGGAGGAGGCGGTGGTGGGTGGTGGTGGCGGTGTGTGGTGGTGGCGGTGTGTGGTGGTGGTGGCGGTGGTGGCGGTGGTGGTGGCAGGTGGCGGTGGTGGCGGTGGTGGTGGCGGGGGTGGCGGTGGTGGCGGTGGCGGTGTGTGGTGGTGGTGGTGGTGGCGGTGGTGGCGGTGGCGGCGGTGGCGGTGGCGGCGGTGGCGGCGGTGGAGGTGGTGGTGGTGGCGGTGGTGGCGGTGGAGGATGTTCGAGATACGGACAGACACAACACACGGACACGTGAGACAAAGACACCCCCTTACTGCTACAGCCAACACCACACCCGGCCGTCTTTATCTCCCCGGTGGCGATTATTTTTGCGTGTTTTTTTTTACACCGCACCAGGTACTCATTTGAGGCTGAGTTGACCTAAGGTTCAGATAATCGTCACCGGTGTTGGGCGTGAGCTGGAATCGAACTCGGGTCGCCGGGTTCATAGCGCACCGCGCTCACCGCGCAGAGACATAAGCACAGGGACACAGAGAGACACACACACAGACAAAAAGACAAAGATCCCCCGTATAGCCTGCAACAGACTGTTGGGGCAAGTGCTGTTAGCGAGCACATGTGAAGGTCGGCACGGCACACGAAGGGATCGGTGATCAGCACCACGCCCGGCCGCCTTTGTCTCACCAGTGGCGATGATTACACACCGCACCAGATACTCATTTGAGTATTTGGCTTTAACCAAAAGACTCATAGAATAAATGAATTATAATTAAATAATTATTTGATTATGGAATTCGTGACCAAACATTTGCAATGTAGCAGCACCCTCCTTCAAAAGAAGTCTTGAGACTCGGCGATGCTTTCCCACACGAAGGGCAACGGGTGGTATTCGTTACGTAGTGTGGGTGAAAGAAGGCGGATTGACGTGACTTTAGAAGGAACGTCATCGTTTGGAAGATGTGGAGTGGCCGGTTCACTCATACGCGGGGTGGTGCACTGCTCGCTGCGAGAGTGATCCGCTTGCTGGATCGTTCGAGGTGGTGGTGACGGCCTCAGCGTTTTGGGGGAGGAGGCTTCCATCGAGCAGTGGATTGACCATGGCTACTGACTATGATGATTATGATTGAAAGTTACGATTTGGACACGTGTGCAGGATTGACGACAACGAGACGTTTTAGAAGCGTGTTCTTCAGACAAATGGAAGGAGGCAGGCGGCGAGAGAGAAAGAGCTCACGGAGAACGGCTCGACCAAGACGACATCATGAAGAGATCGGTGCCACAAAGATGTGCGGCCACTGCTGGAGCCGTATCGGCACCAAGGCAGAGGAAAGTGAAAACTTATGACGAAATGTGCAGGGGACAGCTACGGTGGCTATCTGCCCATGGATCGTGGTGATGATGATGATGATCAGCAACCTACGTCGTCAAGCAAAGTGTTTGTTGTTCAACGTAGAAGGATCTCCCAACAAAGGCAAATATTCCCCGTATAGCCTGAACGGACTGTTGGGGCAAGTGCAGTTAGCGAGCACCTATGAAGGCCGGCACGGCACGCGAGGGGGTAGGTGGCCAACACCACGCCCGGCCGCCTTTGTCTCCCCAGTGGCGATGCTTACACACCACACCAGGTACTCATTTGAGGCTGAGTCGACCTAGGGGAGGCCCAGGACCGGTTTAGATAATCGTCACCGGTGTTGGCCGTGAGCGGGGGATCGAACTCTGGTCGCCGGGTTCGTAGTGCAGCGCGCTAACCACTACACCACCGCTCCCCACACACGGGCACACACTCACAGTCACACATGTTCTGCCAGTCTTTGCGACTTTACAAAGAAAGAATTCGTCTTCAATATGCGACTAAAGCCACACTCGCGCAGCACGTGCAACGGCGTGACTGCTCCTGGGGAGCGGTGGCGCTGTGGTTAGCGCTGCACTGCACTACGAACCGGGCGACCCCTTTACTGTGATGCCCAGCCACCGCTCACCAGAGTGAGCACTGCCCCGGCTGCCCCCTCTTCGACTTTGTTAACTATTCACAAAAGTTTTGTTATACAACAACAACAGTGTGTGCGTGTTGTTTAAGCGGAAGATGCGGTGTCATCGCGTGTTTGCTCTGGAGATGTCACTCGATATGCAGGACGCATCACCACCACCCTACCCAACTCCCTTCCCCCACCACCACCACTACTCCCCTTGCGAACGGGACGTCTCCACTTCCAGGGGGGATTATGATCCAAGTGAATGAAACATGTTAATGAGCAGGACAGAATAAACACGCGCTCGTGTCGTTTTTTTTTTCTAAACTCGTGTAGCCGCGATTCGGGGGTCAAGCTACAATCGTATGCGGGTTGTCCACTTATCTGTTTTGTGGTTTATGTTCTCAGCAACGGCACCGAATCATTATTCTGTGTTGTGTATTGTTATATAATTGTGCGTTTGAACTGCCCCAACCCCTCCCCCATAGCGTAGAGAGGCGGGGTTCCTTGTCTATAACAAAGACAAAGATCCCCCGTGTAGCCTTAACAGACTTTTGGGGGTAAGTTCCGGTACCGAGCACTTTTGAAGACCGGCACGGCACACGAGGGGGTGTGGGTGGCCAGAACCACCCCCGGCCGCCTTTGTCTCCCCAGTGGCGATTTTTTGCACACCATTTGAGGTTGAGTCAACCTAGAGGAGGCCCAGAATCGGTTTTAGATAAACGTCACCGGTGTTGGTCGTGAGCGGGAAGCGAACACGGGTCACCGGGTTCGTAGCGCTAACCACTACACTACCGCTCCCCAATCACACACACACTCACACACGCACTCAGAGACGCGCGCGCACACAACAACCGCCATTCGTCACTAAGTGGCGGTGACGTCACCACGACGCTTGTGCCAGGCTATGTGCACCTTGAGGCCACACACACACTCACACACGCACGCACGCACACTCACACGCGCACTCACACACGCGCGCACACACACTCACACACGCACGCACACACACACGCACGCACACACTCACACACGCACACACACACTCATACACGCACACTCACACACGCACACACACTCACACACACTCACACACGCACGCACACACACTCACACACGCACACACACACTCACACACTCACACGCGCATACTCTCACACGCGCACTCACACACGCGCGCACACACACACGCACACGCACGCGCACACACTCACACACGCGCGCACACACACTCACACACGCACGCACACACTCACACACGCACACTCACACACGCACACACACTCACACACACTCACACACACACACACGCGCGCACACACACTCACACACTCGCACACTCACACACTCGCACACGCACACACGCGCACACGCACACACGCGCGCACACACACGCGCACTCACACACGCGCGCACACACTCACGCACACACTCACACACGCACGCACACACTCACACACGCACACCATGCATCTCGAACCTGCAAGTTACCAGCATTGACCCAAGCGAAGCCGAACGCTGCCGCTGATGAGACACTCTGAGTGTGTGTAACCGCTCCAGAGTGTTTTGCTCGTTTTGAATCAATGCTGCTCCAATTACGCCCTCTGAGGATGCCGTGCGTGCATGCTGATGGGATGTGTAAGACTTTTACCTTTGACGTGGAGAGACATGATTTATTTATGTAACTGTAGTATCATCAACAACGACGATTGTTAGAAGTCATGCAGTATATGATTATATAATCGATTTGTATAAGTACACATTTGAATTTTTATGAAGACAAAGATCCCCCGTGTAGCCTTCACAGACTGTTGGGGCAAGTGCTGTTAGCGAGTAGCGCTTGTGAAGGCCGACACTGTCATACGCGCCTTTGTCTCTCCAGCGGCGATGTGTTTACACACCGCACCAGGTATTCATTTTAGGCTGAGTCGACCTAGGGGAGGCTCAGTACTGGTTCAGATAATCATCACCTGGTGTTCGTGTTGGCCCTAATTGGGAATTGAACTCGGGTCGCCGGGTTCGTAGTGCAGCGCAAAAATGCAGTGTCAAAGACAAAGATACACCATATAGCCTTAACATGCTTCTGGGGCAAGTGCAATGAAAGACAAATATCTCTCACTGCCATGTGATTCAACAATCGATCTCCACCAACACGCGATTGGGGGAGGCCTTCATCCAGCAGTGGATAGAGCACGACCGACAATGACAATGATGATGATGATCCTAATTGTATTCCGTAAGTACGTGCACACAGTCCGCTATTAAATGTTAAGACAATGCATCTTCACACACGTTGTGTTAATACACCATGTACATATAAATATACATATATACATGCCCATGCCGGCATGTTGTACGTTGCTAAAGACGCGTTTCTAGGCTGTGGATTAGTGCACACGCATTACCGTACAAGCGGTCGTTACTCCACGTGGCGTTTTCTTTTTGCCGGCAGCGTGCGCTACAGGGAGGATTTGCGGTCAGATTATCACTGCAGGATATGTAGACTGTCTGCATATGCCGTGCGGTTTATATATATATATACACGTGTGAATATACGGACAATACCTCGGTTTACGTCGGGGGATGCGTTCCTGAAAGGTGCCATGACGAACAACGAAACGACGTAAGTCGAAGCGACTTAAGGTATCGTGCGTGGTGGAGGTGAAGGCTGAAGAGACGACGGATAACGAGAACGGAGGGACGGGCGATGCTGTCAGCGACGTAAGTGTGGGGTCGAGGCGTCGGTGTTGGTAGTAAAGTGAACAAAGTGGCGACGTATTCGCGAAACGACGTAAGAGAGGGAGACGAAACTCGGGGTTTTAACCCGACTGTTTACCAGCGAACACGAATCAAACGTATGTTCTGTATCTCCACATACATGCCATGAAATTACGACGTATTCAACACCGTCAGCTCTTCTTCTTTGGTTCT